TGGAAGAGGGAATGTCTAAAGATGAATTCTAGAATTAGGCTTCTAAAAGCAAACACTCAACCCTCAGAAGATGAGTTATATCTAAAAGAAACCCAAACTGATTTGCGTAAACAAATGCCCAGCTCAGCACCCAAACATTCTTCACTTTGCATAAGGCAGAGGCATCGGAGCATTCTGCACAAAAGTGTTAGTGGTCAAAGGGCTTCTCATATGAAGAGCAGTGCTGCACTGCTGCTGGGCAGTTAAAACAAAAGCTCAGGGGGAGCTCTTAAAGCACAGAAACTGCATTCCTTCCTACCACAAAGCCGCTTCCCCAATCCTTTGCATAACCTTGGTCTCCCCAGCATCTCCTCCCACCCTTCCTTCTCCTCGACCACCTCCTGCTAAACCTTATCTGCTCTACCACATCCTCATTCCCCTCCTGCCCATAGACTACTCTGCTCATTCTCACGTACTGCTTTGGCTCCCCACTAGTAAAAAGTAACACTGTGGGGAACTGAAGGCATGAAGAAGGGGGATGTGGCTGTATAAGTGGAGAGAATGGAAAGACACAGAGAATGGAAGGAAACTTGCCCTGAGAAACCTGATCTAATTGGCCTGCTTTGAGTAGGAGCTTGGATGAGGTGACGGCCAAAGGTCCCTTCCAATTGAAATTATTCTGTGTGATCCTGTGTGGTGAGGCAAGGTACCGTGAGAGAAATAAATGGGACTAAAGCAGACACAGAAGAATTCAAGTGAGAAAATGAGAAATACCTGCAGCCTACTGTTGTTTTCATGTTTACGTTCTCCAGCCATTGGGATAGGACTCTGGTGCCTTGGGTTACGTACAGACCTCCCTCATACCACAGGCTCAACTGAGCCAACTGAACTGCAACATGTAAACTTGTTAGGTAGAACTTGGAGAAGTTTTAGCTGTGTTACAGTGCTTCAAAGAGCAAAGCATTTTGTCTTCTTGACTGTAGTATGAGATTAGTGGGTTCATTTCAGTAGCTTTGTTTATTACAAGCTTTGCATTTTTATTGTTTTAGGTATATGGTTTCATGAAATTATGTAAATCTGGTTTGAGTATTGCTTAGAACAAAGAAAGGTGGTGAGACAGCAAGTTAGCACACAAAGTCAGAAATAAATACAAATTCTTGGACTTGGTACCCACAGAGTGTTGTAGTCTGTGTCGTATCTTAGTCTTTCCTACCACTAATACATGCATTTTAAATACACATGAGGGGGATTCCCATGGAGAAGATTCTGGGCTTTGACAAAGAAAAACCACTTACATTGTCACCAGTGTTAAAGTCTCTGCTATGGATTTACAGTGTGCAGTTAGAGTATAAGCAAAATTAGAGTAACAGAGTAAAACTGTATCTAATAGAGTAGATATATCCCATGATATATCTACTAGTTATGAAGTTGGCACTGTGCCTTGAACTAAGCTTAATGATTATGAAGTGACTTTTGTTGTGCAGAGATTTGAATGAGGGAGAAAAAAATAGAAAGAAATAGAAAAAAGGAAAAGAGATTAAGGCATACAAATAGAAAAGGTAAACTGAGGCAGGTTTACTGGGGCAAAAAAAACCTGGCAAAGCACAGAGCATAAGCCCTGCCGTAATCGAAAATGCAGACACAGACTGTAAGACTGGCAGTGTGTGGATCACAAGGTGAGGCTGTGGAGACAACATCTAGTGAAGACAGAAACAAAAAAACCCCACCAGTAAATATATTAGAATATGTATATATGCATTTTCCAGGAAGTTTGAGGGATTCTATAAAGGCGGATTGTCAGGCAAAACCAAATGTAACATCTGTAACTACAGTGTGGTCTGATGTAGGTGAGTAGCAGCTCAGAGCTAGAAATGTCGAAAACTCTCTTTGATGGGGCAGAATTAAAAACTATGATGTCTGTAAGTTATTATCAGCAGATTCTCCCTGAGTTCAGCCAGGGCAATTTTTTAACCTTCTACGCTGTGATGGGAGGAGTCTAAAATATTGTAGGAACTTCAGTATTTTGGATTTAGCTCCACAATAGTTTTCTGAATAATATCTTTCCACAAAAATTATTCAGGAACCAGTCAGCAGCTAATAAAGGTGGTTGTTTTGTTTCTTAAAGCAGGCTGCAAAGGTCATATGTAAGTTGAATATCTGGCTATAGTATGAATGTTTGCTTTGAAAGAGGACTGGTGATCTCCAATAGCAGTGGGACACAAAATGTTCCAATTAACTTGTGCTAGTCATGGGTCATGTCTCCAGATAATGTTCTAACCTACCTTTTTCCACGTCTCCCTGACTGGTACTTGGCCACTTTCAGAGAAAATGGAATGCTTCCTTCTCTGTAATTTTCCTGAAACAGTGATTTTGTCACAAGGCCTTTGGCATTTTTTCTCTAAAACAGTCAAAAAGCTTCTGCATGCATGTGAAACTCAATGATGATAATTCAGCTTGATTAGCCTACTGTCCTGACCAGGTTGATTGGATGGGATACAAACGGTACTGTGGCGGAGAAGCATCATCACTTGGCCTCCTTCACAGCTGCAACACATGATTATTCAGACTCTTTATGCCACAGATGAAAAACCTAACCAGAAACAGATGGGGAGTCAATATTTTTAGAAACAGTATTTCAAAGCATTAACAAGAGGAAGAGAAAAAGATTTCAACTTTGGAGATAAAGAAAATTTTAATCCTGCTCATTAAAGTATATTCAATAGTATTTTTAGAAACATTTTAATTATAAATAATACCATCTCCAGAAATATTTTTCCTCAGATTCTTCTATTTCCATTTCTATGTGACTTGTGGCCAAAACCAGTGTAAAATGCAAATTCTTCAATTCAAGTGCAAGAGGCTGCTCTAAAATAACATTTTATAGTAACGCACAGTGCTCAAATCACTCGTGTAAAGGTTCTGATTGTTTCTGTTTAATTTAGTATTAGTTCTCTAACATCTAATTGTTTTCTGTATAAGAAAATAGAAAACTAGATCTCTGAGATGTAAGAAGGCTTTTGACAAGCTTGAAAAGGCTCTTGTCTTAGCCTAAACATCTTCACAATTAGCTCACCAGTTAGCTCTTTTCAGTCATCATAGTTTTCCTGTAAGAGGAAATGATCCTTCTCCTCCAAATTATAGTGTTAGAGCATGATCAGTTCTGCTTTTCAAGCTGTGTTTATGATAAAGATATTTTTATGAAGAGAGGAATTAATTCTCTAGTTTTCTTGAATATCAAATCTTCCAGTCTTACCCAGAGAGGTGGTAGATGCACCATCCCCGGAGACATTCAAGGCTAGGCTGGATGTGGTTCTGGGCAACTCGATCTAGTGGAAGGTGTCCCTGCTTGTTGCAGGGGCAGTTGGACTAGATGACCTTTGAAAGCCCCTTCCAACCCAAACTATTCTATGATTCTGTGAAGGCAAATGTCTCTAGTAGCAAGTCAGTGGTGGAGAGTCATCATCAGTATCAAGCAGAGAAGCCCTGAGTTTCTAGCTCAGCACTGAAGAAACCCTAATGATGTCAGTATTGACTGTTGTTCTAGTCTTCTGAGAGTATCTTCAGCTTCCATTCTACAACTGCAGCATGGATGCAGATGTTGTTTATGCGAGTTTACTTTAGTAAGTATGACATTGAGTCCTATAGGAAGTAAATTCTTACAGTACAATTTTAGAAACAAAATGTCTTCCTAAATTGTTTTATAGCTTTGGCATATCCTAACCCTAATTGAATAAAACCCATTTGACTAAGAGAACATACATGATCCTCAAAGAACTGTAAGAAGAAGCTGGGTTTCAGGATTTTTTACAAGACTGAAAGAGAACTTTTCTTTCTTATTCTTGTCTTGGATAGAGAAAGTTCTGAAGCGTTCACCGGCTTTTAACCTTCAGTTGATTTCTGGCACTGATTGATGTATTTAAGGCGTTCATGAACTGAGAAGTACTACATTGTGATTTTTAATGTTTGGCTCCAAGGAGGCATTGTAGCCCAGTGGTGTCACCAGACTTTTCACTTCCAGAGTGAGACTGTCAGTGTAGATAAAACTAACTGCATTTAGATGTCATTTCGAGAACTCAGGTCTGTAAGAAGCTCATCACTTTCAACTATTTCTGGTTTCAGTGAGGAGCAAGCTCTGAAAAGCTTCAAGATAGTTACGATACTGAGTTACAACTTCCAAATTGTCATATCTGGCATGTTCTTCCTAATTTTGATATTTTAAAGAAAACCCTTCTCTTCATTCTGGATGTATCTCATTTTGCCTTCTCTCTTTTCGAAGAGTCATGATGATATTTCCTGATTTCTGAGTGCTTGAACATAATTGAGATATGTTAAATAATGTTAAAAATTAAAATGCTATTTTTCTCAGTCTTGGTAGACTTTTATTTTCTTTTCTGTGTTTAGTTGTACTGGGAAGCTTTACCATGGTATCTCAGGGGTTGAAAGATCTCTTATTTTGCACTTTCAGTGTAATCTATGCAATGGAATTGTTTATAGTTACTATCAATTGTTTTACAGCAAGGATTAAAATCCACAGTTAAAAGCTTCAGAACGTTTTGTTCTAGAATGTCTGCAAAGACATGATTAAATACAACATATTTCCCAGAAAAGTTCATAAGTAAAATCAAGATACCACTGTGGAGGTAAGCAAGCAAAAGGAAAGAACAGGAGCAGGAAAAGGAGTGAAACCACAGAAGAACATGGTTAATTGTTATGTTCTAAACCGGATAGAGCTATAAATGCCATTCTTGGTATAAGTGAAGAGAAATTGTACAACTAGAAGGGCTTTGTTTGCACAGGAAAAAATAGTGATATGTATTTTAAAATGGACTTCATCATTGCAGTCTCTCTCATAGTAATGTATCTCACCTATTATCTTTGTTACTTAGTTTGACAGCATTGAAGATGTTTCTAAGTAACTTAAGAAGTAGTGGCAGATGGATAAAGCCCTATAACCCAGTGTGCTTTTCATTCAGGTACCACACATAAACTGTATCTGCATAACTGAATGCACGTGAGATCTGTTTGTGAAGCAGTCATTTATTATGCAAACACAACAACTTCATTATATCAAATTTTATTAAATATGTACATGTTATTACTATTTAAAAGAACGAGTATCATTTCAAGATCTGCAGACTTCTCTCTAGCTTTGAGAGCTGTGGCAGAGCCTGTATTAATGCTAGTTTGAAAGCTGTAAGCTAATGCAGTGTCACTGTGAATGACACAGCACCACCTTTGAAGGCAAAACTTCATCAGCTGTATTCTTTAGTTACAATACAATCAAACAACAAAAACAATTTTCTGATAATAATATATTTGTACATGGTTTAAATTTCCCAACTCTGTCCAACTTGTAGGATGGAAGCAAAGAATTCTGTCACGTTTAGGATTCTCAGATGCTGAAGAAGGGAATTCGTACCAGAAACATCTGACGGTAAAGGCTGTTTAAAGGCAGAGAAGGGGGCACAGGAAGCAAAGAGAAAGACGCGTCCATCTCCTCTGCTGGTATCCAGCCAGGAGGTCTTAATATGTTTCTTGCTTAGGGTCCCATGGCCTCAGTGAGGATAATGCTTCCTATCAGTGACCCCCCTTCCCATCACCTCTCCACTAAACTGATAGGTCAGCTTCTTCTTGACCTTCTTCACCTCCCCTGTCTTGCCGTAGTTTCTCAAAGCCCGTGCCATCTTCTGGTAGGTCATTTTCTTGCGGTTGCCTTTCTGGATGCCCCAGCGATGTGCCAATGCTTCTTTGTGTTTGGAGGAGAACTGGAAAGTACCTTTTTCCTTGTCCACCCACCAGATGCTGTCCTTCATGTCTCCACTGCGAAGAAGGTCCAGAAGGAACTGATAGAGACGTATCTTCTTCTTGCTGCCTGTGTGAGAGTCAGAGAAGAAAGGCAGCGGAACATTAGGATTGCTGTGTAGTTGCTGCTGAAATAGCAGAAAATATGTAATTCATATAACTGTTTTAGCTAGCTTCTCAGTCACGTCACTCCTTCAGCTTGCAACATTTATAACAATAGACAGTGTCACAGTGTGAGGACATAATGTAGATTGATGTACCGGGCAAAAGAAACAAGAATAAGGGATTCCAAAGGCCAAGCCCTTGATCTGAAATTCATTTGCTAATTTGAAGCTAATTGAAAAGCATTCCTAATTTGAAACCATCTGAAGCTAATCCCGGCAGGTTATACAGAACCTGACTTTCAAGAACTGAGCAACCAGAGCTAAATGTTTTAAAAAATCAATTCCTTGATATTCTTGCCTTGGATTTCTCATTTGTTAATGGAAACTGCAGTATAAATGGCAAAAATCATTATTCATTCAGGAAGCCTGAACAGGCAAGGCAGAAGAAGGAATCGGGAGTACGTGAAGAAGTGGGATTTGAGATAGAGACACAGTTATGGTCATTTGCAGGATGGGAGAGTGAAAAGAGTCAGGGAAAGTGAAGCTTTGGCAGTGGGATAAAATACTGTCACAGCAGTTGGATAGTTTTATTCACTATCATCATGGTAATGTAACAGCTGCTCAGCACATAGCTTGATGAAGTCCCTCTGTCTTCACTGACCTGTTTCTCCATGCATAATTCCAGGCCCAGGATCCACACCATCAGTCTCTCCATCTGATACTTCCAGTGGGGGGCTCTGCCTCTCTATGTCCTCTTCATCAGAACTGGGCTGCGGTGGAGAGGAGTACTGTAGGCACATCCGAGGCAAATAGGACACCTTTGGGAGAAAAGAGTAGTAGAGGGAGGAGGTGGTGAGAGAGTGGGGCATGGAGAGAGTTACAGAGAAAAGGGAGAAGAAGGTAAGAGGTATATGAGATTGTTTAGGGTAACACTGAGTGATGTAGTTGTTGACATTTATAACAAATACTATGCAATAAGAAACTCTTCCACCTAACAGTCAACACTTACACATGTACAAAGATGCATCTTTGCATGAGGGAAGGAGGAATAAAGTTGTGAAAGTCAAAACTTTCCCCTATGTTATATCCTATGGAATTGATACTGCCCCTCTTCCTCTGTACCTCCCCAAAGCTAGCATTCTTTCTAATGAGTTTCTGATCCCTGTTGCCTACCCCCAGTGAAAAACTGCTTTTGAAAACAACTTTTTTCCTAACACAGACCCTCTGGAACTGCTATTTTAGATTTGAAAGTGCCGAACAGTTCTGCCTTAGCATGGCTGCTTCAACTGGATTTGGCTCTGTTGTCCTCTCCCTTTCTCAGGCATAGTACCTTCCAACAGCACTGAATTCCTACAGGACTGCATCCAGCTCTGGAGACAGGGTTACATGGGTCTGCCAGCTTCCTGTCCTGAATTTCCCCTGTGAGGAGGCGAATAGCCTTAGCACTAGGGTAAAGGATACATCACATTGGCTCACATTCTCTTTTCTGAAGTGGTTATCTGAAAATACCCTGTTAATGGGGATTTCACATCTGCAAAGCTAGCAAACAAGTTTTTATTCTAAATTGTCTTGCCCTTTTATAGAGATCTTGTCAAGAGCAGTGTGTAATATACCTCTGCTCTGTAAATTCTAAGTTGCAGTCTGGTTTCTTAAGGGATCGTGACCACTTAGAATCATAGAATCAACCAGGTTGGAAAAGACCTTTAAGATGAGCAAGTCCAACCGCTCCCCAGCATTGCCAAGGCCCTTACTCAACCATGTCACTAAGGACCACATTGACATGTTTTTTGAATGCTTCCAGGGACAGTGACTCCACCACCACCCTGGGCAGCCTGTTCCAATGCCTGAGCAGCCTCTTGGTGAAGAAATTTTCCCTAGTATCCAATCTGAACCTCCCCTGGCACAGCTTGAGACTGTTTCCTCTTGTCCTGTCTCTTGTTACTTGGAAAAAGAGGCCATCTCCACTTCACTACAACCTCCTTTCAGGTAGCTGTAGAGAGCAATAAGGACTCCCCCGAGCCTTCTCTTCTCCAGACTAAACCCCACTCCAGTTCCCTCTGCTCCTCATCAGACTTGTTCTCCGGACCCTTCACCAGGTCCATTGCCATGAATTATTGCATTGAGAATGAGGAACAGGTCAGTCTGAGGGACAGGCAGTAAGAACTTAATTCCTACATTAAAAAAAACCCAGCGACCAACACCCCAGAAACCCAGCAGCGTATAGAAGGTGGTTTTCATTAAATGGGCCAGATTGATAATCCTGGAATGGGAGCTCCTTTTGAACTGCTCTTCCTTCCCTCAACCAAGAAAAGATGTCTCGAACCTGATTCCCTTTCCAGGGGACCTTGGGTGTTCATGAGTCACAGCACCCACCCCACGTTGGGCTTTGCAGAGAAGTGCTTTTCAGATGAGTTTTGCACCAGTTTGATATGTCCCAATAAGGAGTGTGTGCCACGGGCTGGTTTTGGGGTGCAGCGGCTGGCGGTTAATGAGTTGGCACATTGGCTGGAGGCGATCTGGCAGGAAGGCCAGGATTGGGTAAGAGTGTGTGTAAGCTTCCTGTCAGATCCCCAAGAGCGAAACTTCAGCCCTCACCACAGAGTCACCTTTAGCTTTTTACAGTTAAGAAAGCTGTGGCCCCAGGGGTAGGAAGGAAGGGAGAGACAGTGCCCTGGGGGAAGGGGGATGAGAAGGTGGGACAATGTCTTACAGTGAGGCTGGTGCTCCTGCCGAGAAAATGGTTGTGGAAACCTAAAGCGCATCATGGGATGGTGGTGGGAGTAAAGAAACCACTCGTCTGGGGCTGGAGGGGGACTGTGGTAGAGTGCGGTGGACAAGGGAGGGGGAATGGTGTCTCACCAGCAAAGGGAGTTGCAGCGGCCAAGCTGGGGAGTTGTGTAAGCTTCCCCCATGCTGTGCCCACTTTCTCTGCCTGTATTTTTGCTTACACTTGCTTTGTGCTTAGAACTTGGCACAGTGTCACACAGTTATGCTGCAGAGTCACAGAGGACCTGCCAGTGAGCCTGAAAGAGCCAGGTTACCAATGCAGTTCTGGAGACAGAAAGCTTAAGAAACTGCTAGCTACTTTCCATATCCATGTTGTCTCAGGGTCTGTGGCATCCATTTGTGAGTTTCCTCTTTCTAAAGCTCTTCACAGTTTTCCAGCCTTTTCTTTCATTTTCCCTTCAGAATGACTATTCTTTTCTCAGTTTATAATCTGTGAGACCACCTGTTGACAGGCTAACACAACTTCTTAAAGAAATCTTGTCCAAGAACAGCTTGAGCCTCAAATTGGATTTCACAAAATAATGTGATACCAACAGATAATTAGAGAAATATCTTTGCAAGTTCTTCCTTTATTCACTGTAACTCTGATATTGCACGACAAGATGGGTGCAGTTAGTAACTGACAAATTCAGTGGAGGATTAAAGCTTGCTTCCTGCTTCTGTTTCTTTGAAAATGCCTTGAAGAATAGTATCTGTTGCCTAGAACTGTGGCTGAGACACACCAGAGCTGAACCTCAAAGCATGCCAAGTACCACTTGCATGAGCCACTCAAAGTAAAAAGCCAAAGATCCCCAACTGGTAAGGAAAAGGAGGGTAGTGGTGAATTCTACCTACTGGTATCTTCTGCAGCTTAGTACTGGTTGGGGCAGAGAGAGCACAAGGCTTTTGATCGGAAGTGGCAACAATATTAATTAGTTGCCTTTTGTCCTGAAATGATGATAACTGAGTAGAATGAAGTGGGATAAGCAGAAGCACGCTCTAGGTTTCTGCTGGTGCTTCCAAAGATATCCATAAAGGGGCTAGTTTTTATTCTTTGCCTTTTGTTAGAGGTAATGGTCGGTCATTATGTGTTAGCAGTTGCAGTGAGCAACTGAAACAACTTGAAGCTTCCCACAGACTGCTGTTCCATGAAGCATTTTTTATGTTCATAACTTTCTGTTCCTAATTCTTTATTTGTATCTACATCTTCTATTCCTGATTTTTTTCTGAGTAATAGGTGACAAGTCTGATGGCTTGAGTCAGTCAGTTTCCTGTTGACAGTGTTAACTTATTCACTCAATTTTTTTCCTTGTTTTTGATTAATAGAGTATTTGTAAACAACTTCAGTTTGCTTTGAACATGAAAAGCTCAAAATGACAACTCCATGCATGCAGTTTCCCTTACAAAACTTCAGCAATAGCACCATTATATGCAGCGCTGTAACCAGCAAACACTTCTCTCTCTGGCCTCAGTCCTACTCTGTCTTATATTCACCACACTGTATGTAGCTGCCTGAGTTGGGATACTCCTTAACACCAGATCACCCAACTTTCTTATTGCTCCCAGTAATGACTTCAGACATATTCTTGCAGGATCAAGTTAAAAGTGATCTCCACACCCACTTTGCTTAGTATCTTTGCAGTATGATGGAACCCCTCATAATTTCAGCTTCATATGAGGATTCACTGGCACTCTGGTGTCTATCCTACTGCATAATGGAGTATCTTTTTTTTACAGGGAGGTGGCTGGCCTCATGTAAAATCTGAGCAAGACATTGTGTTTAGGCTCATGACTTATTTACTTCCAGGCAAAACCAGAAGCAGGTTGTCCTCAATCTTTTTCACTGTGGTAAAATTACCAGTGACCTGTCTGTCTTAGCATTTCTAGTACAGGTCATGTAAAATTGTCAGGGTTTCTTGGAAATATTTAAAACTTTCCTACTACTCTGAGGCTCATAATCCTTCCTAGTAGCCATGGATACCCTTGCTAAGACAATGCATAACTTCTCAGGTTCAGGTCCTCTGCAGAATTTCAGAGCAGTTGATTTTAATTCTAAAGGAAACAAAATTTTGACACTTCAAAAACCTCCACAAAATGCAATGATCTTTTTAGGCACAGTTCGAGGAACATGACTCCTCATTACCCAGATAAAAGGAATGCTTAAACCACATTTGTTCTGAGAATGAAGAGTTTTACATCAAGCACTTGTGCAGTATGAACTTGTGTAATTCATTTCACCAATCTGTTTCATATAAGAGTATGCATTCCCTGATGGGTTATTTTCTTTACCCTTAACTATCATCCTGAATTCTGAGAAAGGGCTGATAACTATACCTGGTGGTTGAGTCCGATGTGTGTGGTTGGGATTGTAGAATCCAAGACATGCATTTGTTCGATCTCCATGTGCCTGTACAGCTGCTGCAGCTGGGGAGGCTGAACACTCTGCAGTTCTGTGAAGTGGTTGTCTCCAAAGGTCTCAAACTCACTGTGCATGTGGTGTGGATGGTATTCCCAGTAATGATCTAAAGAAATAACAACAATTTGTCATTACAAGATTAAGAAACATGGCGTTTACCTTGCATCAGTTCTTTCTCCTGTTGCTGTCCTTTCCAACTTCTCCACACCATCCTTGTTGACCCATCTGTCTCTGGTGACAATCTATGTAGATCCCTGTAAAGTTTCTTTTCCTAATCTCATAAGTGCCTGTGGCTGGAAAGTAATACTTAGGCCATTTTAATAAGGAGAATACTTTTAGATGGAGAGATGGATTTCAGTGATAATTTAGGACCAGATGTAAAAGATATTAATGCTTGGTTGGGCACCTTTCCCAAGAAGAGACCACAGCAGTCTTACATATTCCGCCTTGAAGCCACAAATTTTACTGTTTTACATACTGTCATAGTCTCATTACACTCTTCCTCATAGCATGGAAATGAGGGGATGCAGCAAATGTTCAGATTTTTCTGCAGTTATCTTCAGGCCTTATTTCACTCTGCTAGAAAAAATACAGGAATGCTGCAGAAAAGGCACAGCACTTTGTGAGGTAGTTCCTGCAAGCATGTGTTGGAATGTCACACATTTTTCAGTACCTATACAAGAGAATAAAAGGATAAACTGTTGCAGCAGTCTGGTGTACATTGTTTACAGTATCTGACACAGACTCTTCTCTACCTTTTTTCTCTTTTCAGTATGTTGGAAATGTCTGTGATAATTTTTTTCAAAACCATGAATAAGTTCTCAGATAACCACTATGGTGTTTCCTGATTGATTTCCTTTTGAAATTAAATTCCCTATCGCTCTCAGGTTTAGATTTCTGTTTTTTAAGTTCAATATAAGCCTTCAACGTTTTTAGAGTTTCATATTTGCTGCTCAAAATTGAAAATCTGCTGCAGGAAATGTGAAGCATTGCAGATTCTGTTTCTCTCTTACATACAGTAGCTGCATGCATAATTACACACGTATTCATGTTCACTCTGTTTTGTAAAGCCAAAGTTAACATCATGTCTTCCCCTCTGACCAAGCTAGGAATTAATCTTCCATAGTTTAACTTTTAATGCATCGTTTTATGAATGGCCAAAATTTCTTTATGATATTCAGTGTAACAGTCCTAATTTACATCTTACAATTCCAAGTTTTCTTCCCTTGTATTACTAGAAATCATTTCTGTCATACACTTCACATGTTTTCAGGGTGCTATCATAAATCTGCTCCTAATTATCACTTAACCCTGCTGCATGTACTTAGTTCTCAGTCTTCCAACATAAATCAGTATATTCACCCCCCCTAATCATACTTGTTCACTTCTCCAAGCTCCCAGCTGTTGACATCCTTCCGATAATTTGATGGACAGAAGTGAACATGTTGTACCAAGTGTAGTTGTACTGAATTCTGCAATATGATGTTATTATGTATGGCATTATCTGGATACTAATGCACTATGAATATTTTTTCTTAAATACCAGCTTCATTATTTCTCTCAGCTTCTGTCTCCTCATCCTTCCCAGTTTATGTTTTGAACTATTAGGTCCAATCCAATCTGGAATAGTGACTTTGAATGTGGCTTTCTTTAGAGAGAATTCAGTGGTATGTTTATACCAAACATAGTTGGTACCTGAGAAGTTGTAAGCTCTTTTAGCTGCCTTTATGGCTCATGCCTGTAGAAGTTTATTTGAAGGCTCTATGAGACCATTTACCACAGCGGTTACTTTTCTGTCCTTCCTGTTTTTCTGATTCATGGATAAATCATGTCACTGCATGTGAAAGGGATGGAAAGGTAGTTACTAAAGTAACTAAAGTGAGCTGCTGCATTACTTTGTCATTGCTTTGTTTTATAGTGCTTTCTGTGACTATGTATGGATTTTATAGCCCAAAGTTAAAATTACAAGGCACTTCTTCATGCTGTAGTGCTAGGGAAAAATTTTGTTTTCTCTGGTACAATAGTAGGGCTTATGGGTGCAAAGTACCCAGGTACTTTTACATTCACGTCTGCTCCAACCCAGGAAATGGCAGTGTGTGTGTGAGTTTGAATCCACAAGTCATCTAAAGCTGTCTCCTGTAGGATGCTTTGGGCACTTTCAGTCTGAAACTGCTTTGTTTAATTGGAAGACTGAGCCACACTAACTCAAGTTTTCTTCTGGGTTAAGTTACTGCATATTTCTCCAAGTGGAGCCAGCCATTGAGGACCCACATACCATGGGCAGCCCTGTATATAACTTGTAGAGAATCACTGCAGGAGTAATCTATACTCTAGTTCTGCAGAATGATCTGGCTCTGCTGCTTGTGCAGAAAGCCCTCTGTTGGATGGCCACGTATATTTTCAAAGACCCCTTGTCTTTGATAATCTACTACAGTAAAAGAGATCAATGCACAACTGTGAGGATGACAAAAGTCTCTGAGGCTGTAAATGGTGGCTCTTCAGCTGTGCAATGACTTACTAGTAGTAACTATGTGGTCAAAAGAAAACCAAGTACCTTTCCAACACTCATAGCCGTGAGTACTTGTGCTTGCTCTGAGTGTCTACTTTTGATTCTTCTGAAGTGTTTTTTTATTAGCACTCATGTTTATATGCTTCAAGATACATCTAGGTTTTTGAAGCCTGCGGCAAGGTTCCTGCTGCCTCCAGAACTGTACTTTTAAACCCTTTCTTGACAAACAAATTAACTTATGGAAGACTATTTATGCATATTCATGTTAATCACTGTGTGCTATTTAGCCTAGACATTACTGAATTCCCTTTTCATGGAATTAGGTGCAGCTGTTAAAGTACTATAATAGCATAGTACTAATAGCACAGCATTTAGGGACTTAACAGTGATCACATAATAATAATGCATTACAAAATGAATCTATATCGGCAATTACTTCAACACAAACTTATGCCCAAATATTCAGGCTGTGACAGGAGTTCAAGTTCTTATTTCTTTCTAAATTACCCATAATTTCACAGTGAGGCTTAGGAAAAACAATATTGGTTTAGTTACATTGAAAGAGAAAATTCTGTCTCCACAAGCCCCTCTGTAGTTAACAAGCCTGGCTAAGTTATTGCTCATGAAAACATAAAACCCCTCTAAATACCTGTGTCTGCAGTTATAAGAGTTAGCAGTAGCTACTTATTCTATGTTCTTTGTTATGTCAGTAGCACATAGCAATTCTGTTCCCTCAAAAACGTTAAGGTGAAAGGAAGAAAAAAGAAAGGAGAGAAAAATTCTAGAAATGGAAAGTGTCTATTCTTTGGGTAAAGGCAAATGTCATTAAAAGCCAAGCTAAAGCTACACAATGGAGTCATCATGAGAAATTTCATGTGAAGTGAAAGAGGATGTGAAATAAATTCTCTCTTATAGAGACATGGAGATCATGTTTGTTTTGGTCTTGTATGCAGTGAAAGGTTAGAGGAAGGACAATCATGAACTCTGAACTCCCTCCCATGACAGGGAGGATGTCAGCCTGTTGGGAAGCAATTGTGGACCTAAAGGCATTGTGTTAGTATTTACCATAGAGGGAGATCCTCACTTTACAAGTGAGAAAACATAACTGAACTTTCTCAATCATCTTCTGACCAATGTGAATAGCTTTGCTCCTGTTTTAATAGATGAATAATGTTAGAACCAGCAATTAGACTATAAAATGGGCTTAAGGAAGGTATTTATAATGAAAGTGGAGTAATAGGCTAGATCTGCACCACACAGCACAAAAGTATGCAGAAATTCATGAGCCAGCTCTTGAACCGGAAACATGACAGCACTGTCAGCACAGCACCCTGCCCAGACCAAGGAGACAACTTGTCGGCATGGCTGTACTTGTGAGGTCTGAGCTAATATCTCCGAGTGGATCTGCTCTGTGCTGTACACATTTTCCAACACATTTTGAACTAGGAGATGGTTTCTTACACAGTGTCTCATTGCACAACTTAGATGTTCCCACTGTGTTTTGCTCATCTGAGAAAAGCTGGGAAAATTGAAGGACACTGGGAAATTAATGTCTAGATTCCCTACAGACTTGTATTTTGTTCAGTGAAATGCTGTGCTCCTACTCTTGTCTGTAATGACAGTAGGATTTCATTACTTCTCACTTTACAAACTTCATGATTTTAATAATGCCAAGATTTTCAGATCTATGAGTCAGCAAAGCATGAGAATGGCTTTGAAGTGAGGGGTTTTTTTAATGAAATTTGGAATTCTTTCTATTTTCCATATAGCATTTAAGACTAAGGTTCACATGTTTGGACTTTCCTCCACTTCTATGTGGGCTAAAATCCTAAAAAAGTCAAAGCTGGGGTTCTTAAACGATCATATCACCATGGTGCGACAAAAATAAAATCCGAGATCACGAAATCTAGTAAGTTCCATGAGGCCAACAACAAAGTGAAAAAGGGTCAGCATTCAGCTTCATACAAAAAGTGATTTTTACTAAACCCATAATGTTTAGTAATAACTTAGAGACAAAGCTGCAGTGGAATTTTGTAATTACTAAGATTGCGTTAGTGTTACAAAACAGGCTGTATTACATTTACAGACTTACTAGCATACAGGCTTAGGGTGGGGTGATGGACTAATACATGATCACTTCTGTCCTGCTTGGCTGTGTCTCTATGTTTATTAGAGCATTTACAAAACAGTTAAAATACAGTATAGAAAATAAATGCAAATAATGCATATTGTGATGAACATATGAATATGTTTATGGTGTGTTTTTGATTGTTGAATTCAGTGTTCACTTACTGGCAATGATCTACACATTAAATTAGTAACACACTATTGTGTGTAGTTCACTGCCTACACAGGTAAACATGGAGTAAGGGTTGCCTTCGGCATTGTGCTCTAGAAAAGTGACAGTAATGCATGTAGCACACGTCTTATGGTATTGCCATCTTCCTTTCACAAGATTAACTTGTTAGCAGCGAAAGAGAGGTAGTCTGACACTTGATCAAGACCTTCTATTTCATTAGCAGTCCCTTGTTAGCAAAGTCAGAAGTATTATTCTGTATTGTAGTATGCATTTACTTTACCTGGTAGCTTTTCTTTGAAGTCCATAGTGGTATTGAGTAGACCTGCAAAATTATGTTTGGTTTATTGCCAGTGATAGCACTGTACCCCAAGCTGAACTTCTCTCTCACTATTCTACCCTAATTATTTATTCTTTTCTTCCTATCTAATCATGCTCTCAGGTCTTTCACTTCACTCATCCCACTGTAGCACCTTATTTATTCTTTTTCCCCACCATTTTTCAATCCTTGTGCTTTTATCCACATTATTCTGAACATTTAGTACATAATTCTAAATGCAGTTTATTATGTCCCTTTCCTGCTCTTCTGCATGGCTTTTCTCAAGACCCACTTCTTCTGCCATGTTACCAAAATGAAAGCCAAAGTTGAGTTTGTCAGTGTTAATAGGAAAGAAACAAAACATGCTAATTTGTGGTTTTCACTCCCATTTGTATTCTTTGGTTGTTCATTGCTCTTTTGGACTGTGAGCAATTTAGGAAAGCAGGGGGTGTATTAGGCACCTAGACACAACCAACTACATTATATGTGCTTTCATAAGTAAAGATTCGATTGAAATGTGCAGGCTGGGATTAAGTTGCCGCTTTCATAACTATTTACTGTAGGAGCTAAAACATTAAACAACAGGGGTTTGGGTCTTTAGGACAAATGCAACACAAGTTTAGGAAGAGTAAAATATCTGTTCAAAGTGGGTGTTTAGGTACTACTTAGGCCATAACCTGGAGAGGTGACTGTAAAGTTTTTGTTATGTTCATTTTGATGAATAAAAACAGTCAAATCATTAATACAATGATCATTAACATAATGATCTGAACAGTTCAGCTTTGGAACAGCCTTCCAACAGAAGAAATGGGCACTAAACCAGGTGCGATAGTAAGATTATGAAAGATAAACAGATATTGTTGCTTGACATAACCTAGATTTAATGAAAGAAAAGTTATTTCCCAGTGCTTTTTCCTACATCTTTTATATTCATTGTTCAATTGTCACAATTGCCTTTCGAGATAATAAACCTTATCCTCGTTTTATGGGTGTGTAAACAGGTACAAGTTATCATGTAAAAACCCTGAATTTCCATGTGGAATTTGCTGTGTTTGATTAATGATGTGACTCGACAGATGCCATGAGACAACTTAAACCAACCGAATTAATTCTTTGTCGCCAGGCATTAAGAATATTACAGGTGTTTCCTGAATGCAATGTAGAGAACAAATTTAGGTAGGAATCTTTTTAGTTAAATGCTCAGAACAATCCTATTCTGTAACTTGCTGTCCCTTCAGGTAGCTTTTGTTTCCACAAATAAAACAGTGCTATGCTGTGAAGTTGTTAGATGTCTTAAATTAAGCAGCGATGGGTCTAGTTGCTCTACCGCTGGGAATCTTTTAGGGAAACTCCAGGATCTGAAGGGACTGCCACTAATGATACAGAACGGTGCTTTTCCTTCCTGAGTCAATATTGACTCTGATATTTCCAGGGTAGTGTTGTTGGACTATTGTATTGCACAGGAGACGAAATTCACAAAGCAAGTTTCTCCTCTCTGCAATGATTTAGAGGCCAGACAACATGAAAATATGAAGACACCAAAGCTTTGAAATCCCATATATAAATTGAAGCAATAAATAATAATAGAATATTTTTATATTGATCTAGGTTTACATACAAACTGCTACAAGGAAGTTTAACATAGATTTAGAGAGAGGAAGTACTTGGGTGTACCGGAGGAAGAGTGAAAGTTAAAGCTAGGTGTGGCAGCATGCAAAAGAGATCAAAAGAAAGAGAGAAACATATTGAGCTAAAAAAGGCCAAATACCAAAGAAACATAATTAGAATGAAAACACAAATAGAGTATTCTAGGACCTATGTCAAACAGCAATTGGGGATGAGAACACAAGATGAGAAATACAGTATTACAAATCCAGGTCCTTAAAGAGTTCTGAAACAAGCAGAGAGCTTTTGATCTGCAGGGGAAAGCAAAAACATGGTGAAAATAATGCAGGATAGATCATGAGATGCCACCTTCCTGGCAATACACTGAATGTCCTGGAAGCTCCTTGCATTATTCAGTGCTTTCTAAAATTCTCTTTCAAATAAACCATGTTGCAATTCTGGGTTGGAATAGTGCCATTAAGGAGGATAGTACTCTGTTGGTTTCTGAATTGAAATTATGTGCCTATACATTATAGATCACAGCAACATGTTTGTTCTTTTCCTGAATATCCTAAATCTCTTTCCTGTGGTATCCCATGAGACTTTATGCTCCAAGGAGTTATTTTTTTACTTACCACCATGACTCTCTCCATCACTGTTGAGATACTGGTAATAGTCATGGGGCTGTCTGTAGAGGTCTGACTCATAGGGTACCATATCTTCAGAGGGCTGCAAAGAGAAGAGGAATTTTTAGAGTTGTAAAATGATACAAATCCCTTCAAAATTATTCATAGTTAGTGAAGGGGAGACGCCAACACAGTTAATATTGCCTAGGGCAAGAAGGGGGAGGCTTCAAGCTCTTTTTG